GAAAATGGGCACAGGATATGAACAGACGCTTCACCAAAAAAGACATCCACATGGCAAACAAACAATTGAAGAAATGTTCAAAATCCCTATCTCTAAGAGATATGCAAATCAAATCAACTATGAGATATCATCTCACTCCAGTAACAACAGCGAAATTTAACAGAATAGCAAACAGCAAATGCTGGCAAGGTTGCGGAGAAACTGGCACCCTTATCCACCGTTGGTGGGAGTGTAAAATGGTGCAACCACTATGGAAAGCTGTATGGCGCTTTCTCAAAAAGTTGCAAATAAAAATACCATTTGACCCAGCAATTCCACTACTGAGAATATACCCTAAAGAAACCATAACCGCCACCCAAGCAAATATATACATACTCATGTTTATCGTGGCTTTGTTCACAATAGCAAAGAGTTAGAAACAACCTAAGTGCCTATCAACAAACGAATGGATAGAGAAGCTCAGGTATATTCACACAATGGAATACTATGCTGCATTGAAAAACAAAGAACTCATGAAATATTATACAAAATGGGTGACCCTGGAGGACATTATACTGAGTGAAATACCTCAGTCACAAAAGGACAAATATTGCATAGTGCCACTTTGGGGGGAGTTTGAGAAAGAGGAAATAAATAATGTATGCTGTATTGAAACAGATGAGGGAGAGAATTGTTTCAAAGTGATATATGATTAGGTATTATTACCATGACAACAGTCCAGAAGGAAGGCTGTGTAGTGCAGTGGACTAGGGGAAGAGAGATTGTATAACAATGAAAGAATTTTTCTTTTACTTTTTAAAGAGTGAGCTGGGGGAGAGAGGAGTGGGCAGGGAGAAAAACCCAATAAGGAATGAATGGAAATCCAAAGTCTCTGTAAACGATCATTAAAATTAAAAATTTTTTAAAAAGCTAAAAAAAAGAAAAATAGTTACCTTACAAAGAAGAAACAATTAGACTTATCTCTGATTTCTCAGCAGCAACCGCATGAGCAAATACACAATGGGAAATTGTATAGAGAAGACTGAAAGAAAACAATTGACATCCAAGGATCCATTATCCACCAAAGCTATCCATCAAATATGAAGAGGAAATTAAGTCATTTACAGAAAGGCTGAAACTTCAAGAATGTGTTAAAACAGACCAACTCTACCAGAAATGCTAAGGAAAGTCCACTATCACAACTTCTATGCAACATTTATTGAAAGTGCTTGCTAGGGCAATACTACAAGAGAAGGAAATAAAAGACATCCAGATAGGCAAAGAGATGGTTAAACTATCGCTATATGTAGATGATATGATAGTGTATAAAGAAAAACCCAAAGACTAGACAAAAAACAAAAACAAAAACAAAAAAAAAAAAAAACACAACTGTTAGAGCTAGTAGGCCAACTTAGTAGAATAGCAGGATATAAAATCAAGACCCAAAAATCAGCAGAATTCCTCTTTAGTAACAAAGAGAACACAAAGTAGAAAGCCAAAAATACAACACCATATACAATACCCAACCACAAATTGAAATACATAGGAGTGAATCTAACTAGAGACATAAACTATCTATACAAAGAAAGCTCAGAACATTTTTGTGAGACACAATTAAAGACCTAAATAAGTGGAAAAATGTTCCCTGTTCATGGATAGAAAGACTCAAAAATGTGAAAATGACAAATCCAACCAAAAGTAACCTACATCTTCAACACAATTCCAATACAGATACCAAATTCATTTTTAAAGGAGATTGAAAGGGAAATTGTCAAGTTTATTTGAAAAGAAAAGAGACCCTGAATAAGTAAAGCACTTCTGAAAAACAGAAATGAGATGGGAGGCACAGCACTCCCTGACCTCAAAACCTACTACACAGTGGTAGTAACCAAAACAGCATGGTACTGATACCATGACAGGCACATAGACCAATAAAACAGAATTTAGAACCTTCAAATCAACCCAATTATCTATCATCAACTGACATTCAACAAGGAAATAAAACTTATCAAATGGGGAAATGACAACCTCTTCAACAAATGACACTGACAAAACTGGACTGCTACCTGCAGAAAGCTTACAGAGGATCCACATCTCATATGATACACAAAAGTCAACTCAAAATGGACTGGAGACCTGGGAGTAAAGCCCAAACTGTAAAGTTCATCAAAGACTAACTAGGATCAAGCTTATGCGACCTAGTCTATGGTATCAAGAGACTGCCAAATACAGTCAGAATGCACAATCTGGACAGGATAACATTGACGAATGGGACCTTCTAAAGATTAAATCTCTGTGCACATCAAAAACTTTTCCCAATAGAATCAAAAGAAAAGCTACTTACTGGAAAAAAGAATTTGGTAATATAATTAGACTTCTCCAAACTACTGAAGAGCAATGATGTCACTCTTGAGACTAAGGTGCACTTGATACAGACCATGATCTTTGCGCATCAG